TTTTAATTAAGAGGTTGGGTTGCTGCCAGCCCAGCGTGGAGCGTCTCAGGTCAGGGCAGGCCGTTGGCGTGCCACGGTCGCCCCGCACCTCGCCGCGGAGCGGGGTCAGGCCGGGGCCGGCCTTTGCACCCGCGTGGCCCCGGCAGCCCTGCCCGGCCTGGCGTTTGGGGAAGTTGGGCTTTGTTTTGCCTAACGCCGAATCCAGGCCCGTCGTTGCACATCCCTCGGCGACCGTGAAAGCAGAAGTATCTGTACCAGTCCCTCTGGCTCAGACAGATCGCTTCTTGCTGCTGAAGCTTTCCTGGCTGCTTCGCGTTTTCTGCTCCGCTGCGTGCACCGACCGCCCGCGCTAATAGCTGCGCCGTGTCCCCTGTGCCAGCAGTTCCCTGTGGAGGCAGAAGGAGGTGATGTTCACCTCCCTTTGCGCCGCCTGTTGCTATCAAACCGTGTCATCCCACGGGCACCCTCCTTTCGGTGCACGAGGCTCGCGTTTCCGGGCGATGGGCTCCCGAAGGCTTTGAGAGGTGAAAGGTGGGGTGCCGGTGAGGCGCTGTTGTTCCCGGATGCTCGTGAGAGGGTGGCTTGTTGATATTAGCAAAATTAGTGCTTTGCTAGAGAAATCAAAGGGGTTGAATGTTTGCGTGTGTTTTCCCTCTGTCCCCAGCTCGTGGTAATTAAAGTTGTTCTCAGTGACGGTTGCAGAGGTTGCGCTGATCCAGCTGGCCTCTGATTTGAAGGGTCTTGCTGAACTGAGAGCTTCTTTACCTGGAATTTGCAAAAAGCTGTTTATTGTCAGTTCAGTTTATTTTTAATCTAATCTGACCTTGTCTAGCCCCATGCTCTCCCTCTTCCGAGAGGAGGTGTTGGGCATCTGTTGCTCTGAGCTCCACACAGAACAAGAGATGGAGGAGACCCTGCAGGAGGTGGGATTCCTCCCTCCTCCCTGGAGGAGGACCTCATAGCCCGTTCCCGTTGCATGCGCATTAACCCTGCTCTTCTCTCCAGCATGGTATGTTTGTGTCTGAGGGCAGCAAGTCTGTGACTACTTCATTTTTCACGGGAAGAGGCAGCTTTGAGCTGGCCGCTGAGATGCGGAGGGATGGTGTGGCCGCAAGGTCGGCCCCGGCTGTTGATGGGTTTATTGGTCCTGTAGGGATGCGGCTCGCTCCAAAGGTGGTAGGAGCCTCTGAGAGGCTTTGGCAGGAGGAGAAGCTGCTGTTGTGCCCCCGGGAGACTAAGCTGGTGCTCTCTGTGGAGATGCTGAAGGTTGCAGTGCACGGCAGTGGTGTGATTTGGCAGCTGGTACTGCTGAGCCTAGCAGGTTTTGTGAGGTGTGCGTGCATGTGTGTGTGTTAGCGGTCTGGGAGCAGGCCAGGGAGCGGTGGCAGCTCCTGTGGGAGGATGAGAGGAGGATCCACAGTCTCCTGGGAAAGAGCTGATGTGCTTTTTTGTGCTCCCCAGGACCGCGGCCTGCCTGGCAAACTGGAGCCCGTGTCTCCAGTCAGCCCTGCTCACCCCGACTCCGAGCTGGACCTGCTGCCAGCCCGGCTCTCGAAGGAGGAACTCATTCAGAACATGGATCGCGTGGACCGCGAGATCACCATGGTGGAACAGCAGATCTCCAAGCTGAAGAAGAAGCAGGTAAGAGGGCAAGCTCTGGAGGGGAGCACGCGTCCTCACTGCTGCATGCTGACTGACGCCCAGTCCTTGCCCCTGCATGTCCCCAGAGGGGAAGTGGCAGTGCCTGGTGCTGCCAGTGACAGCCTGCGCCTGTGCTCCCTGTTGTGGTGAGGGCAAGCTGCTGCTCTGCCAACAGGCCCTGGCTGCTGGTTGCAGGCTGAGGGAATTTTGGAAACCTTGCATATGCGTTCTCTGGTATGTCAGAATACCTAAAAAGGGAGAAGAAAAAACCTGTCCTCAGTGATTGCGCGAGATCACCATGGTGGAACAGCAGATCTCCAAGCTGAAGAAGAAGCAGGTAAGAGGGCAAGCTCTGGAGGGGAGCACGCGTCCTCACTGCTGCATGCTGACTGACGCCCAGTCCTTGCCCCTGCATGTCCCCAGAGGGGAAGTGGCAGTGCTGGGCGCTTCCAGTGACAGCCTGCGCCTGTGCTCCCTGTTGTGGTGAGGGCAAGCTGCTGCTCTGCCAACAGGCCCTGGCTGCTGGTTGCAGGTTGAGGGAATTTTGGAAACCTTGCATTTGCGTTCTCTGGTATGTCAGAATACCTAAAAGGGAGAAGAAAAAACCTGTCCTCAGTGATTGCCCATGGTCATGCAGAGCTGGAAACACAATCGGGGTTGCCTGGGTCCTCTATACAGCACAGCATTATCCCAACATCTTTCCTTGTTCCTTTCCAGCAATTGTCTTTCCCCAGTGCTATTGCAGCCACTCTTGTAGCATTGGGCTGTTTGAAACGTTGCTGCTGTGCGCCTGTGGCTCTGTGCGCCTGAACCTTCCTGTGCATCGGCCCCATCTCAGGGCCTTTGCGGCTCTGCAGCCCTGAGCAATGCCCAGTAAAACTCCTGCAGTCAGAAATGTGGCTAAACAGAGATATGGGTCTGATCTGCTTGATAGTGCTTTACCCCTGCACAAAAGCAACTGCCCAGCAGACAAATTGCCCGCCTTACTGTTGCTATGTATGCAATTACCATAAACCCATTAAGAGATTAGTATGACAAAACCTTGGGGGCAGTCTATGGGTTTTTTCTTAAAGGCTTTCGCTGCCTAAAGGAAATCACTTCTGTCTGTCTCTGTCTTACCGGTTCTTTTTTCCTGTGCTTGGGGCAAGTTTCTAAACTCTCCCTGATGGCTGCTAATCCCAGCCTGCCCGGGAGGGGAACGGTGGTCTCTCCGGAGGCACACGTGTCTGGAATTTATGAATGGAGCTGTGTAACTGGGCTGTCATTCTGCCTGCGAAATCAGGACTAAGCCGGTGCTCCTAGAGGACAAGCATGCGGTTGACCTTCCTCCCCATCTGCAAAAGTGGAGCAGGAAGAGAAAAATAAGTTCAGTGAGGTAGCTTGAAGCTTCTTGCATTTCCCAGACACACAAACCCCATACCTATAACTCAGCTCCTGTCCTGTGGCTGGCTCCCTAGTATCTTTTTGAATGCAAGAGTATCCCAAATCTCCTTTCATTTTTGGATTTACATTTTTGCTTTGCAGATGCTATGCTCATTCTTTCCTGCAAGACAAAGCAGTTTTATTTTCAAACTATATGGTTTAATTAATATGAAGGACCTCTTTTGTGTTGCTTTTTATCCCCAGAGGTATCAGAGTGCTTAGTGAAAGGGAGCCAAGAGAGTTGAGAAACAGCTGTGATGCTAGATGGAAGGAAGCAGTGCTGTATGCCTTTGCGGGGGGTGGGGGGGGCAGCAGGAACATCTGGAGCAATAGAAACCACAGAGGAGCCTCCTCTTCTGGTGGGGGTAACTGGGCAAAGCTCCCTTCCCCTCTCCCTCCCTAAGAACCACAGACGAAGTGCTGGTATCCTCTCACACCTGGCGATCCCACTCCTTTCACAGAGGACAGTGGTCCATATTTTCAACTCACATTTGAAGAGGGAAGTACAAAAACTGGTTGTTTCTCATTTCAGGTGAGGAGAGGCACTTCCAGAGAGGGGTGCGTGTGCCTGGCTCAGGGGCAAAGGGTTCAGCTCATGGTAGCCAAGAATATCGATAGCTGAGCTGATTTTTTACAGAGCTGATGAAGACCAGCCATTGGAGTTGACATGGGCAGCATATGCTCGGTGCCATTAAAATCAAGCTGTCCTTCCATTAGGAAATGGTTCTTTTCTTGTTGGCTGTTTGGTTGGTTTGTTTTCTTCTGAACAAATTTCATGATTCTTCCTCCCCACAAAAATGCTCCGATTACTTGGAAGAAGGTGAAGGTGATTGTTGGCAGTTAAATCATCCCGTCCCCTCCTCTTTTTTTTTTTTTTTCATTTTTGATAGCGACATCAATTGCTAACAAATTCCAGATCCCAAATACCACTCCAGATCCCTCACGTGCTGTGGCCTCCCTTCCCCTCCGACAAGATTCCTCCTCTCCTTCCCTGACCTGTTCCTCCAAAAAAGTTCTCACATCTGGGCCAGTGCGGTTACGCACGAGAGGAAGTGTCCGCGGGGGGAGTTCCTGTCTGAAAGGCTCGGAGAATGTTTTGTCCATCTGTGCATCTGAGCCATCAGCGCGGGAGAAGCGTGAGCGAGGGAAAACAATCAGCCTGAAACAGATACTGCTCCTCCTGGAACGAGCAGTGGAGCAGGGGAGAAATTGTACGCAGCCGTAATATCCTAATGCTTTTCCCCTCTGTCTTTGGGAGGCCTTCTCAGGGTGATTAAATACGTTTGTATTCAAAGGCTGTGCAAAAAAAAAAAAAAACAAAACCTCTCCCTCTCTCTCTCTCTCTCTGTCTCTCTGATTGTTCCAAAAATGGCAAAGGCGGCTCTGCCTGGGCTTTGCTGGCAGGAGGGGTTGCAAAAGCAAAGTCCTCAGCAAGCTGAGAAACTTTCCCAAAATCCTGTGCACCCCTGGCAGAAGGCTGCTTTGATCCGCCATCGCCCGCTTCATTCATGTGCCATATGCGCTTAAATCTCTCATTGAGTTCCTTCTCCCCCTCTTTCTGACAAGGAAGGATAATCTTTATGCATTTATTCCTGGCACTGGTACCAGGAATCTTAACAAGAAATAAACTGCTGGGCTTCTCTTCACGGTTATATCTGAGCCTCCCTGAATCGGAGAGCTCTCTGAAGGGCTTTCTGGGAGTACAACACTCCCACCTGGTGATGGAGGTGGAGCTGCCGTGGCCCGCAGCGCTGCAGCCCTGTGGGCTGTGTCCCGCCGGGTTAAGGAGCTCTGGGTTTTCCCCTCCATCTCCGGGCTGAATTCCCCTCCGATCTTCCTCACTCTCTTTGAAAGCAGTTTCCAGAAATGGAGCTCCGTGGCTGGGCGCCCTCTCCTTCCTGTGGGCAGGACGCATGAAGCATCCTGGGGAGCACGCGATCGCTGCCTAACGCCAGGCAGCATGGGAGCCAGACGCGGCCGCTGGGAGCGGGGAGACCGAGGGTGGAACCATCAAGGCTCGTCCTCGGTTTCCGACTGTAAAGGTCACAGTCCTGGCCTCGCTTTGGTGGCAGACCTTTAAGGAATCCATTTCGGTCACGTCTGAGAACCTTGACCTATTTTGCTTTGCTGTTTCCCACAAATCCCGAGGGTGGCCATTGCGGGCTGTACCTGCTGAGGTCAGGTTTGCCGTTCCCCGCGCTCTCTGCCCGCATCCCGGGCTGCAGCATCCAGCCCTTTAATAATTGTACAGTATTACACAGTGGAGAGTAGAGTCTAATTCTCTGCTGTATTTCAGCTATAATTAGATTTTTTTTATTTCTTTTAACGAGCTGCTTTTAATGAGCCTCCACTTACTGGCAAACTTTCATTTCCTGATATGCCATCAAATCCTCTTGTCTGAAATCAATTAGAACAGACTCGACCACTTTGCAAAATTTTTGTGGGTTTCCAGAACAATGTAGCCAAGTTTCTCACATTTTTTACCCAAATATTTTCCCCAGGAGAAGTAGAGGATTGAGGTTCGTTCTTTTGAGTTTTTGGAGTTTATAATATGGCAACAGTGGTGTGTGTTGGGGGGTACCTTTGCTAAGCTGAGGGTAGTGTGCCTCTGAAGTCCCTCTGAAAGAGCAGAGAGGTACCTGGAAGCTTGAGTAAAGACTCGGACGTGCAGGGCCTTGTGAGGACTCTGCTGCAGGTTGGAGGTGGGTTGCCTGGGTCCAGCTCTGGAGAGGATCCAGTTGAACAAAGCCTCCGAGAAGTGTTTTAATTGCCAGGAAAGTTTAGTTCAGTCCAGCACTGTTTGACAATTGCTTCCCCAGGGGGACTGATGCTGTTTGCTTGTATCTGTTTTGCAACCCGTGATTTAAGCCATGGCTTCTTGAAGAACTGTGGTCCTCTTTGTGGTGGTGGGGTCTTGAGGCACCCAAGAAACAGTTGTGACTGAAGAGAGGAGCTTTTTGGGCTATTTTATCATGCAGTTAGAGCCCTCAACGTGTCATATTTGTATGGCTCTTCATGACAAATGAATTGCCACAGTGCCCAGGGGAACAATTATCCCTCACTCCAGGTGGGGATGTCAAATCCAGATGGTTTAAACTGGGGTTTGCCCAGCTGTAGTCATATGCTGCTCTCCTAGTTTTGGGCTCTTACTCAAGTGCACGGAAGCGCACTTGTGCGGAGCCCAGGTTGTCTTGCCCTCTGCCAGAGCGTGCTGCCAGCCAGGACTGCACTTAGCTGCACCCATTGCCACCCCAGCACATCAGCATGGGCTGTCCACCTTCAGGGTGGCTTTAAGCTAATGGAGGGCCTGCGATCTGGTGGTGATGCTGGCTTTCCTGTGTCCTTGGTTGCATCATGAAGCTCCCTGTGCTGCTGTCTTTCCCCGTGTGGAGCAAGATGCTTATCTGCCTCTCTGGGAAGCTGCAGTGTGAGTGGGGTCCACAGCACTGGGCTGCTTAATCCATTTAAATATATTTAATTTTGAGGTTGCAAATTATCTCAGGCTAGCCAGTAGACCTATCTAGGTGCTTAAGTGTTTTCTTGGACTGCATCCTACAGCCGAAGTGTCGTTAAGGTGAATCATCAAAGGGAACGGAGATGATCTGAAGAACTAATAGGTGCCCCCCTTCTTCTCAGACCATGAGACACTGCTGTCTCTGGGAGGAAGGTGGTGCACTCAGCTCTGATGAAAGCCGATTGCTGTCAACCACAGGTGCATTTTCACAAATGGGTTTTTATTACTAGTAAAAGAATCAATTGTTTTCTCCCTTGCTTTAGCAGGGGATATTTTAGCTGCAGCAGAAAATATAAAGTTGTGGGGTATCAGAAGCGATCAGTGAAAAATCATATGCAAATTTTGACAAATGTTTCCTCTCCTGTTTCTGTCCTTCCCTGCAGCTACTGCGTGCAGCGTGCGCCCTATGTCTTCACCAGGGAGCCACTTGCCATAGGAGGAGCTTGGAGGAATCTGTTATTTCCTCTTTCATCTGGGCAGTTCCTCAAATTCAGTAGAAGGGCTCAGATGTTTTTCTTGTCTTGCACCGGTTGGGAGAACTGGGGATGCAGGTTGTACGTAAAACAAGTCTGCAGACGGCGATGATGTTCTGAAGTGCTCTTTTAAATACGGTGATTTATAATTCATGTTTGCTGTGGCCTGAGAAGCTAGCACAGTGAGTAGGAACACATGGAAAGATTAGTGGTCTCCAAGCATGCTTACATGGACCTGCATGCCTAAAGCTGGCACACAGGTTCGCTCTGCCCGTCCCTGAAGGTGGGAAGGTTTATGCTGAGTTCCTGCAAGCTCCCTTCTGATTTTCATCTCATGAGGGGGTTGTTTGCGTTCAAGTCAGTTTGGGGCTCAGCATATTTTACTGTGTCTGTGTGGCAGACACAGTAAATGGGAGATGATGGACATGTTCATTTGGGCTCCTGAGTGTTTATGCTCTAAGACAAAGCAAAGCTTTGGATGAGAACCAAGCGAAGGCCTTTGGTTGCCTGGTGTTCTGGATGGCACTGTATATTTTAGTACACAGCTGCTGGACCTCTAAGCCCAGACACCATGTAATGTGGAGCTGTGGTAATGCAATACAGTTAGAAAGCAGAAGAGACAACAGCATGCACTGCTCAGCATTGTTGTGTCTCTGAAGGCAGGACACGCTCATGATGGCCACCTGCCCCTACTTAGTCTTCTCTAGCTGGCATTTGGATTTATGTGGTGGTTTCTGCTCAGTGCCATTTGTTCTGCGTGACAGAAGAGGAATGGGTCTCAGAGTGCCTTCCTGAGAGAGCGTGGTGGCATATGACTCAGAAGGTGGTTAATGCTGTGTGCCGATGCCCTTGCCAGGTCCTTCTAAGCCTGCCAAGATGACCAGAGCTGTGTGAAGCGTTTATGTTGCAGGTGTTTGCAGGTGGTGTGGGGCCATCCGATGCTCGGGGCAGCTTCCCCTCAGAGCCAGTTATTCAGCATGCTGGGGTGCAGTCCTTGAGCTCTTCACAAACGTTTGCTAAGGCAAATGATATTTTAGTCGCCCACATCTGACTCCCATGCTGTCCTCCCTGGGGAGCCCTATAGCTGTTGCTTTCACTCTTACACCCTTCTGTCCCTGTCGCCTTGGCCGTGAGGGCTGCCGTGCGTCTGGTTGGGCAGGCTCCGACCAGAGACTTCTGCTTTCATGGTGTTATTGCCTCCTCTGCCGTACTTACTGTTCTTCTGCGTGGCACAGGGATGGCTGTCTCCTGCCCCAAACAGGGCTGAGGTGCACAAGTCGATTCATTGAGAACAGTCATCTGGGGCATCTCTGCCAACCGCAGCACTGAAAGATAAAACTGAAGGGCAGAGCGCAGCCTTGCTGCTCACCCCCTTGCTCTTCCATCACTTCCCCTCAGCGCCAGGCAAGGTAGCCATAGACAACCGTGCTAGGTAGTTCCCCTGAAGGATTTCCAGTAAAATCGTTATTTCTAGCCTTGAGCCCTCTCCAGCATGCCTGTTCAAGACAGGTTCTTGTCCTCTTATCCATGCCTGAAAAGCATCAGCCCACTAGCACTGGGACAGGCCATCTGGGGTAGACAGCATCGCGTCTCTGCCTGCGGGTGGTCTTACACAGCTCTCCTCCCTCTGCGGGGCCCGAACCTGCTGACATCTCGCAAGAAGTGTTCCGGGATGGCGGTTTCTGTATTGGTCACAGCACTGCGGAGAGTCTCGTGTGGCCGGGGACGGCTGCGTTTCTCTCGCTGTGACTCACTCTCTTCCTCCCCCTTTTCATTCCGCAGCAACAGTTGGAGGAAGAAGCAGCCAAACCACCAGAGCCTGAAAAACCCATCTCCCCCCCTCCTATCGAGTCCAAGCATCGCAGCTTGGTGCAGATCATCTACGACGAGAACCGGGTGAGTCTGGCAACGATGGAAATAGAAATGTGTGATTGCGCTCTGTCATACTGGGCTGGGGGTGCCCAGGCAGAGGGGGCATTTGGGAGAGAGGTAGATGGGCAATTCCCTGGGGAGGTTCCCTCACGGGGAGACTATGGGAGGTTGTGATAGATGGAGGCTCATTGGGAACGGTGGCGACAGAGGGCTAGGCTGTGAATCAAGCTCAAATGTCTCTGAGCTGGGAGAGAGCTCAGATGTTGGGGTTTGCTGTGATAAATGTTAGATTTAAAGCATTTAGGAGCTGCTTCAGAGCCTATCTGTTAAACAGTTCATTCCATCTGTTTCTTCTGGAGTGAATCGGGTCAACCTTGCCTTGAGAGATGGGCTTTGGCTTGGTGGAGTGGGCTGTGTTTTTTATTTGAGGGTGACCTTGGTAATACCTCCAATACTGGCAGGCCAGCTCTGAGCTCTCCTGGCTGCCCCTGAGCCGTGGGGCCAGAGGAGAAAGAACGTGGATTCAGCTGTGGCTGGATTTGTGGACATTTGATGCTGAAAACAGCATTAGCAAAAGTCACGCTGGCATCTTTGGCTCTGGATCTCTGCCTTGACCGCTCGTTTGTTGCACTCAGCCATTGCTTGTAATAGCAGCCTGAGGAGATGTGAATTTTACTGTGTGCTTTGGAGTGACGTTAGAAAATTGGGCCCTTTGGTAGATAATCAAGCACATTCATTTTCATTTAGGTGTTAGATAAAAAGGATGATTTTGCATAAAGTCGCTAATTACTAGTCGCTAATTATTTTGAATTGTGAGGCCTGCAGTTTCACTGGGAGCTGCAGAAATCCAGGTGTCTGACTCCTAAAAATCACATACCCTGTGCTCACAGGCAGCACAATTTTTCTGCTTTTACTTTTCCCATCTGTGCTTCTCCCTTAGCAATAGGAAACCCAGCAGTGGCACAGACTGTTGTGCAAGTGGGTGAAGACTGAGGTTGTATGTGTTTAAAGTATTAGCAAGTGCCAGCTGGTAATAGCTTTACAGACACTGGGCTTTGGAGGCAGGTGCTGAGTGTTTCTCAAAACCGGTTCTCCCTTTTGGTGAGTGCCGAGTGCCCTTTCCAGGAGTTTCTTGTGAACCTAACCAAAGTTAAGTTCAGAAAAGGAGATCTCAGATATTTTTATTTCTATTTCCTTGACCCCATCCTCCCCCCTAAACGTTCCCCTGTATTTGGTCCGGAGCACGTTATGTACAGAAGAAAAGGGTGATTGCACTGTGGCAGAGCAGGGAGAAGATCTGTGTTGTTGCGGGATCTTGCTCAGGGCTGAGCGTCTTGCTTGCTCCTTGTCCCGCTATGTCGCGCCCTGTCTCTATCTGCTCTTCTGCCCTGGCAGGGTCACTCTTTCGCTCCCCTCTCCCTGAATCTCCCCTCACCTCCTCTTTGACAAGCGTGATCTGCTTTTCTTTCCCTCCCCTCTCCCTGAATCTCCCCTCACCTCCCCTTTGACAAGCGTGATCTGCTCTTGAAGCTACTGCTTGAGCCAATCCCTCAGGGTTGCTGCTCTGTCCCGTGGGTCATGCTGAAGAGTATGGAGAAGCAAGTTAGGGGTTTTACATTTCTCCTTGAAAGTGAATGGTTATAATAGCTGGGAAGTCGTCATATACAGTGCTCAGCGTTGGTGGCATCCATGTGTCAATGTTCTTGATTTTGTTCCAAGTTACACTGATCTTCAAAGCCAGGTTTTAACCAGGAGCATTTTTGCTATTAACCTTCACAATAGGGTGCACTCATTCCAGGTGGGTGCTCAGCAAGCAAAGGTCACATCTGACACCAAATGTCTATATAATTTCAAATTTGGCTCTGTGTTAGTATCTGTGTGATCCCTGGGACATATAAATGATGATTCTTCCCTCTGTTCTGGTAAAGTCCCATTGAGAATAGCATGTAAGCAAGCTTGTCTGTGGGTAGAAGACTCTGAAAAAGCAATTCTTCCCTTTTGCTCAATAGAAACCATAGTAGGCTAGAGTTAAGTTCCTCCTTTGAGGAAGACATAATCTATTCATGGGCTATAGGGAGAGTCTAGAGAGACTTGCTGGCCAAGTGTGATGGCTGAAGTTGAGTGATGAAAACACTCTCTCAAGTATCAGCTCATAGAGATGCCAAATTGCAGGCTGTAGGAGGAAGGGTATGCTGAGAACTGTAGACCGCATTGCATCTGTCATTGCTCCAGGAATAAAGGTGGGATTCAGAATGTAATTGTCCTTCTAAAGGGCATCCACAGGCTCAGCTTTCAGTCACCTCTGCTAAACATGTTTGTAACAGTGGTAGGGCCCTTATTTTCCCCCCAATTCGCAGCAGATTTGCCTCCTTAATAACCCTTATTCTTCCCCTTGGCCCGAGATACCTTGGAGCCAGGAGGAGGCTGAGAAAAACTGCCATGTTGTAGAGAAAAAAGGCATGGCAGGACTGTTGGATAAGAGCTTGAATGGAAAGTAGCTGAAGATAGGACATAAGGTTCCTTGGGTGGTTTAGTGGCAGCAGACCATCTGTGATGCACCCAAGGTCTGTCGAATGTGGGAAGGACCCCTGGTTTCTTTTGTGTTGACCTAGAGGTTAGTTGCAGCTTAACACTTAATTGACAGGTAAGTTGGTAGGAGCAAAGGGCTGCAAGCTAAATAGAGACATATTGATCAAGAGTGGGAAAGGTCACTGAGCCAAATCTGTACTCTTTTTAAGCCTTTCTGCCTCTTGTGTGTTGCAGAAAAACAATGAGTTTGAATGCCTTGAGGTTTGCTTGCAGGAAGAAAACCTGCTATAATGGCTGTGGCCCAGCCCTGCCTGCCGCTGGAGCCAGGGTTTCAGCCTGCAAGGCAGTGCACAAAGGAAGGACGAGCTTGATTTACTCGTATTATTCAGCTAGTGACTTGCTTGAGGGAGGCAGTGTGTTGTGAAAAATACAAATAAAAGGAAGATATTCAGGCCCTGGGAAGAGGCAGGACAGCAAAGCACCCCAGAAGAGTTGGCAAAGCCAGAAGTGATTTTTAAAGGGCGATATTGTGGAAGGGGGAGAAAGCCAGCGCTTGTGTGGACACCAGAGCAGGTGGGAGGCGATGCGGTTTGAGGAGGGGCGGTTGTCTGGCTCTGGTTTAATTCCCCATGAACCATGGGTCTGTGCTTCGCTAAGCATAGGGGTGTCACTGTCCCCGTTCCCACCGTTCCTGCCAGCCCTGTGCCAGAGTTGTACACTGCATGCAGTTATACTGCAAACAAAGGAGATATCAAAAATGGTCCATGGAAGAGAGGAGGTTATGTGAGGACAGAGCAGCGAGAAACTCCGGAAAATCAAGTTAGCCAGTCATTCTGTGACCTACTTTCCTTTTGGCGATAGCTGTGGCTTTTCAGGGGTGAATGATTTCTAATTTTAGCCCATGGTTCATCAGGGAAGTCTATATGTTTTCTCACCACTGTACTGGGTATGGATGAGGGGTTGGGATGCAAGCTGGCATTGGCCTACGTCTGTTTTTTTCTAAAATTCAGGTTCTCCTCTGATACTAAACTCCATCACACTGCCTTTCCCTCTTGTGACCTACTTAACATGTATGATTTGAAAAGTTCCTCAGCATTGGAGAGAGTAATTTTGGAAAATTTGACTTGTAATTCCCCCTTGCTATACTCCGCTGGACAAGTAATTGGTTTCCAGAAAAAAAGATGACCTCCTCCCTGTGGGTATATGCTGACCACACACTCATCTTGGCTCCAGATGAGCCATGAAATTGCACCTGAACAAGTACCTTTTTTTGAGTGCATTTGCAAATAGAGTAAAAAACACCCCCACCCCCATGCCGAAATCTCAACTGTGCGTGCAAACTGTGGTGTGTAGCAAAAGGACATCCGTTTCTAGAAGGATGTCTGAGAAAGCAGCTTAGCGTTTTTGGTGTTATTTGTAGACTAAAATAAGAATAAGCAGTGGGTAGCATTTTCAAAAGCATCCGAGTCCTATTTTCAAAAGTGACTTTAGTCCCTTAAGATGCTGGTGCCAAGGTACCTGGAGAAATCGGATGGTAACAGGTGCCTCAGTTGCTGCTAGAAGTTGACAGCAATGCAAAAGTTGGTGATCTCTTAAATTAAACTGCACAAATGACCCTTAGCCTCTTCCCAGCGGCAGAGGTGCTCTCTGTTGGGTCTGGCGCCTCTACGGCGGTGGCTGTGTAGCACGGACTCCTCATGGGCTTTGATTTGCCCCTCTGGGATGCATTATTGTATCCAGCAAATTTAGTGTCTTTCCAGGTTAAATTTGCATAATCGGAGCAGCTTTTCTATATTTTTAGTAAGTTTTATTCCACTGGGCTGTCCATGGGTATCCCTTACATCCGTCCTTCCCTGAGGTTGGTTTAACATGCCTGGGCTGGAGTAAGTTTTGCTGCTTTAAATCAGAGTTTCCAGGTCCCCGCTACGCATGCGGAGGAGGGCAGCGGCTCTGAAACACTCTTTGACTCTGTTGCGTGGTGGGGCCGCGTGCGTCCAGACACAGGTCTCCGTCTTCGTTCCGGAGACGGAGCCCGTCCCCAGGGCGCGGGTTCCTGCAGGCTGAGGAGCCAGCGCGCCGGGTGAGCCGACGGCTCCCGAGAGCGCAGGCTGGAGGTGGCTGGGTAACCTGGTCCGTGAAGCAGTCTGAGCAGGTCTCCCTCTTGTTTCCACTGATGCGTAATAAAAATCCCTAGCGCCTGTTCGCGGTGGGAGGGTAGAGGATTGCACTTGGCGGGATTAGGAGGAGCAAGCTGGGCTTTGAATCCAGGTGATGTTTTTCTCAGGAGCAGCGCTCCAGCTTGGTCGGGGAAGGGCCCTGCGCAGGCAGGGGGAACCGCTCGGCCTGTGCTACGCCGCGTTCGGGACGGGAGCTAACCCGCTTTCCCGGACGGTTTACGCCTTTCCGTCGCCGGCACGTAAAGCAGCGGTGAGGCCTGAGCCGTGGCGTGGTTAAAGCTCTGCCATCCTTTAAACGAGCGCACGTCGCATCCCTCT